CATTCCCTTCCCCTGGAGGGACAACTAAGTCTTCTACCTGTGTCCATGCCAGCCCTGGGTACTGCCCTGCCTCCTGACCCTGTGGGGAAGGATGCAGAGGGTGGGGGATGCTCTGCATGGGACATTGTCCAAAGCTTGCTAGATGAGGGAGCTGGCCACCATCCTGTATCTGAAAGGCAGAGGGGTGGGAAAACTTGGCAATGAGACGTCCTCAGGAAAGCCCCATGGGGCTGGGAGGCCTCTAACTAGGAGTGGAGCATCCTCTCCAATTGCTTTAGGAGGTGTGCTTGGCTTTTGCTGGTCAGTCGTGAATTGGAAATAGTGGCAAAATTGCAAGAATCCAGCAGTAATTGACCAAGGCCCAACCATTTTGGGATGACTGCTTACCAATCTGAGATTTGGTTTCCAAAGGGCTGCTCTAGAGGCTGTTGTCAGAGTTCCCTCCCAGTGCGAGGTCCGGTCATTACTGATATGTATGGGATTGCCTAGTTCTTAAATTGGCTGCATGGTGGACTGGGCTTGATGCCTAGGTTGCGTTTAAAGAGATTCTGACTTAATTGCTGGGAGTGCGGTCTAGGCATTGGAAGATTCTTTCATATCACCCTGGCTGATTCTAGAAGTTAAAAAATGCCTGCCTTGGCAACCCTGTTTGCAAAAGGCCAACTCACAGAGAGTTTAGGCTTTGTGGATCCTGTGGTTCTCCATTGCAACCACTCCATGCCACCCTGAGAATATGAAGGTGTCCAAGAAGAGCAAAGAAGCGTCACTACATTCTCATGGAACTCAACTGATACAGACAGGCAGAAGGTTAGCCTGCTGGGCCTTGTCCCTCACCACTGCTTCCTAAATGACCCTGTCACCACAGATCTGGAGCTCACTCTAGAACTCGGACAAGGGGATCTGTAAAAGAAAAGGTTTTGAGTGTCCGTGGACGTGCATGTCTTGTCTCCCTGCTAGCACAGAGGATGCATGCATGCACATGATCTTCACTCGTACTGGCTTCAGAGTTGATACTCAATAAAGGAGAGGGCAGGAAAGTAAAGTGAGTGAGGCCCAGAAGCAGACACAGAGAGGGAGTTAAAAACACAAAAGGATGCACACCAGTGCACAGCTGACAAGTGAGAGGAAATAAGAGGCAGAACATGAACGGCTCCTCGCCTGCAAGGGGGTCTGCCAGCTCATGTCTGTCCATCCCAAGAGAGGTCTAGGGCAAACATTATTCATAAGAAGAGCCCTGGGTTTGGCAGAAATGGCCAGACCCACTGCCCTGCCTGCTTGTTCCCAGGCTTGGCTGTCAGTGAAGTGTTCACGGGAGCCTGATGTGCTGCTGCTGGGAATGGTGTTTGTGGCTGGTGAGCAAGTTCTTTCTCCGAGGCAGGTCTGCATGTGTACCACTAAGAGGGATGAGGACAAAACGGCCAGACAGAGAGAGGAATGAGAAAGACAAGGGAGGGGAAGACAAGAGTATTGAGCTTTGGAGCTCAGATGTCCTAGAAGCCTCACACCCAGTTTCAAAGGGGTCAGGCCCTGGACTCAACTTTCTGTCTTTCTTTCGGAGCTGAAACTCTCATGACCCACCTGCTCCATCAGTCTCCTTGGGAGGAAAAACCAGTAAGGCCTTGAAGTTATGACAACAGTAAGACACACTACATACCGGATATCCTTTGCACGCACTTTACCGGCTGGCTCATACTTATTAATGTTGTGTTTTGTTAGTTTTCCATCTCACAAATTTCTTTTAAAGATTTATTTCTATTGGAAAATTGTATTTATAGAGAGAACAAGAGATGAGAGAAAGCCCTTTCATCAACGAGTTCACTCCCTAAATGGCCACAGTGGCCAGAGCTGAGCCACTGCAAAGCCAGGCACCAGGAGCCACGAGCTTTTTCTGGGTACAGGGTCCCCAGGTTTTGAGCCACCCTCTACTGCTTTCTCAGGCTGCAGGCAGGGAGCTGGTTGGGAAGTGGAACAGCTGGGACATGAATCAGCACCAATATGGGATCCTGGTGCTTTGCAAGGGGAGGATTAGCCAACTGAGCCATTACTCCAGGCCCTCTAGCTTACAAATATGTTTCACCACCAGATCATTTGAGGTTTATCAGATCATCAAGGTGCAGAGGGCACCTGCATGTCTCTGTGTTCAGGGTAGCAAACTTTCTTGAAGAGCTCTTCTTCCAAAGTCTTGGAGATGCGAATGGCGGGGCTAGAACTTGAGTGTAGTTCTATTACTATGAATCCAGAGTTTGTGGAGGCAACTGCAGGGTGCACTCATCATGCCTTGTCAGTGCCCAGTTTCTGAGGTCTCAGCACCTTTTGGGGCAGCCTTTCTGCTCCTCCCACAGGCACCCTGAAAAGCACACGCAGAGATTTATTTCCAAGTGGGGAGAAGGAAGATATCCAATAATCTTGCACCTGTACATCATTAAAAAAACTAATTTGGGGAAGGTAGCAAATGTTGTATGTCTAGCGCCACATGAAAGAAAAACAATAATAAAACCAGTGGAGGTGGGACCCTAAGATACAGATCAGTTAAAAATAGCAAAGAGTGGCTTGTGCAGTGGCATAGCGGGCTAATCCTCTGCCTGTAGACTGTGCGTACTACATGGGTATCAGTTTGTGAACTGGCTGCTCCATTTCCTATTCAGCTGACCTGGGAAAGCAGTGGAGAATGGCCCAGGTTCTTGAGTCGCTGCATCCATGTGGAAGACCCACGGGGAAATGCTTGGCTTCTGATTTCAGATTGACACAGCTCTGGCAGTTGCAGCCATTTGAGACGTGAACCTGCAGGTGGGTGATACTTCTTTCCTTTTCTCTGCAAAAATCTGCATTTCCAATAAAAAAATAAATCTCCTTAAAAAGAGTGAAGAAATTCAAAATAATAAAAGCTCCTTTAGAAAGAATAAAGAAAATACCTCCCATCTTCACCACATTCTTCAAAAAGAGGCATCTGATGATCTTAGAGCAAGTTTGTGAACATGGCGTGTTTTCATGTTGTCTTGCACACTGCTACAATGCCACCTTCTCAGAGCTGCTGAGCGTCCCTCTCCAGCAATGACTGGCATCTCTCATCCTGATCCTCAGCCTGGTGGGCACAGCCCTGGTTTCCTGGCCCGAGGCATGCAGAACCTCACCGGCTGTGAGCCATAGGCCACTTGCTGCATACACTTCTCAGACAGCACTGCCACAGCCAAGGTCTGCAAGGGCCATTTCCACGTCTCACCACTGCTCCCTGTGCCATGCCAAGGATGCCCCCCAAGGCACGAGACCCAGGAAGAGGCTGCTCATGGGAACACAGGCCAACATCACTGCCAAGGTCAATGATGGGCTGTGAAAAGGATGTTCTCTGTTCTCCCACAGGGACAAACGCAGTCCTGTCACCCCCTGTTAAGTCAGAGTACAAAACGTTCCCCTTCCACACAGTGGCCCATCAGCAAGCTGGGCGCATCTGAAAGGAAAAATCGAGAACCCAGTCTGTCAAAACCAGAACTGGGGGCAAAGGGAGGGGGTAGAAATGTATTTGGAGGCCAGTTCTTACACTTCACAAGTTCGTGGGAAATGGAATTGAAATATAAGTTTATTTGGTGCCAGAATTTTTTTAAAATCCATTGCATTTGAGGAGTCTTCAAAAAAGCCATGGAAGGCTCACACTATGAACAAGTATGCATGGATTTTCTTTTTAATTCCTTTCTCCTATGCGCCCTTCGAGGTACCCTCATTATGTGGTCTTGCATTTTATCCCATGGGAGGCGGGAAGCTGCAGGAATGATTTCTGCCATCAGACTTTCTTGCTGTCAGTCCTCACAGGCAGGGTGGACAGAGCAAAAATAAAACCCAACACAAGGGAGAACCAGTGAACAAAGCACGAAGTTGTTTTGGAACTGGCTTTGGTTGGGAAATATGCGCTTCCATCCTTCAAGCTCGATTGATTGCACCATGTTTGATAAATCAGAGTTGATGTAGTTGGTGCCAGATGACTTTGGGAGTTTAGGAACCATCCTGATGTGGATTTCCGAGCCTCGGTGACTGAGCTTAGGCAGCGCGTGGGTGCAGAGGACTTAACTTGTAGATCTGATCCCTTAGCCTTTTTCTTGCAAAATGTGTTAGACGTGCAGGAATGAACAGAAAGCCATATCAAAGAGAAGGTAGGGACTCCACCTAGATGTACTAAATTTGTACTGAATTTGAACTTTTTACCTTACTGGCTTATAGAGGAATTTTAGGAAATAAAGTATTACTGACACAGTTGGAGCCTGTTTTATATCAATAGTTACCACAGACAGTTCCACATCTCCAGTACTGCATTCAGGGTACTGCCCACTCAGTTACCACAGCAATGCCAAGATATGACAGTAAGTGAGAGACACAGAGATTCTAAAATTGCCAAAGTCATACTTAGTGGGGAGGGTCTTGACTGGGAAATTCTGAGTTCTGACTTGCTGGGCTCCACCCACTTTAGATAAATACGTGGGATTTCACACCTTCTCAAACTATCAAATCGGCATCACCTGTACTTGTCTTCTTTTCATGTCTCATCCATGTTAACACATGTAGGCATAGTTCACTCATTTTTAAAAAAAAAAAGCATTGCCCAGTATTTCAATGTTCGGTGCCTTCAAATGTATTATTAATTATTCTTCTGATGGACATTTCCCAGCTCCTGGCTTCAGTCTTGGCTAGCCCTGGCTGTTGCATCTGCTTGAGCATTTAACTGGGAGATAGAAGATTCTCTGTGCCTTTTAAATAAGCGAGTAAATCTTGTCTAAAATGTATTAATCATGAAGATCCTATAATTCCACATGGTGGCCAAGGATTTATATGAGTGGCTCTGACACTTGGAGACGTATCACCACTGTCTGGCAACTTTAGCATCAAATGAAAACAAACCAAGCCTTAAAAGCCACATTAACGGAACTGGATTGCCTGAGAGCGGAGCTGATGTGTGTTGACTTTCTGACTTGCCCTTAATGTTTGGCCACGGTTGAGAAACACTGTCCAAGATAAATATCTGGGTTTGTAAGAAGACATGATCATAAGGAAACAAGGCAGTACAAAGAACATTCTTGGCTCTTTAGAGGACCTGCAGATATCACACGTTTAAAAGATTTTTTTTGGAGGAGAGGCAAGATGGTGGCATAGGGTACAGACACATTTGATAAGATGGAGAATCTTTAGAAAGGGCGAAGTAAAATAAGTAGATTACAGGGAAGAAATCGGGTTCAGGCAGTAAGCAGGGGTACCTGGAACTCCCCTGGACACAGGGAAGCTGCGGCAACGGGGCAGCAGTGTTGCAGTGCACCGAAGAACCCCCAGCAGTCGGCGAGCAGCAACTCAGACCCCGGTGATCCAGGTTCTGGCAATCCAGACTCCAGCGATCCATTTCCAGCGCCAGCCAGGCATCCAGCAGTGGCCTCCACACAGCTCTTGTGACCGCCAGGTGGGAGCCTGGGTTCGCATGGGGAGCCCGGGAGGCGGGTGCAGTCTGGGACCTGACAATCAAGCTGAGTGACTGGGAGCAGCCACAGGCGGAGGAAGAGTAGGAGACACAGGGAACCATCTTGTGTGGAGAGGCGGAACGCGGAGTTGATGGAGTGGCACAGAGGCTCCTTTCTAGCGGTTCACATGGAACTGATCCAAGAGGGGAGGGCAGCATCAGCTTCGCTCCCTAAAAGGTTGGTGTGGTCCCTGGAGCTGAAAGCCAGCAGCCACAATTCTCTGACTGGCCCCATCTCAGGTAGCAGGGCAGCAAGTGTGGACCCCAAGCGAAGGTCCAGAGTGGGTGTGTTGCTAGCTAATTGCACTGAGCTGAGCCCACAGCGCCAGCCTTGCAGCCTGTAGGGTCTGTGTGGTCCCTGGAGCGGAAGGCCAGTAGCCCCCTGATCTTTGTTGGTGCCCCTATGGGTGTCATTTTGGACACTGTGGCAAGTGTTCCAAACACTGATGAACTGCAAGAGGAGGAGCAGTAAACTGTGCATGCGCTAATTCAGCAGCTCTCAGGTATCAGTGTCACAGGACCAGACACTGTTACACTGAGGGGAGGATAGCTGAGCTGCCCAAGAACTACGCTGGGAACAAAATCACCACCATCTTAGAGCACTGCACAGGCTCTGCAGGAAAAAAACCAGCCCCTACAAGGCACACCACCAACTCCACCCAAAATAACCCCAGGAGGTACTCAGACTTATCGGCCAGCAGGGGGCGACAAGCTCAGTGCTGCCTACAAAATCAGTGCCACCTGCAAAAAAAAAAAAAAAAAAAAATCAGGAAAGCTGTGTTTTCCAAATCCAAAGCACTGATTGAACATAAAAAAGCCACCTTGTAGACCTGTAGGTAATACACCATAGAGATTATTTCACCAACCAGATTTGCAACTAGAAAAGGTAAAAGAAAAGACAAAGACATCATGAATGTTTTGAAGACTCTCCAACAAAAGAGCAAAAGCTTCGCCCACTCTCAGAGTTAACTGAGGAAGACACTGAGAAAATGGTGGAGAAATAACTCAGAAAACTTGTTATAAAGCTGTTGATCAACAATGAGAAGCACAAACAAGAGTTCAAAGAAGAAATAGTAATAAATCAAATTAAGGCTGATATTATCAGAAATTAAGAACACAGTAGAGCAAATTAAAAATACAATGGAGACTCTCAACAATCGAATGAATTAGGCAGAAGAAAAAATTTCAGAATTAGAAGATATTTCCTGTCACCATGAAGAAACAAGCAAAAAGTTGGAAGCAAAGCTAGGTCAAGCTAAAAAAAGCATTCAAGAATTAAAAGATATGATTAAAAGGTCCAACATAACAGTTACGGGAGTTCCAGAAGGTGCAGAAAGAGAAGTTGGGATTAGAGATGTATTCAATGAAATAATAAAGGAAAACTACCCTAATCTGAGCAAGGAATTGGAAAATAATTTACAGAAGGGCTACACAACTCCCAACAAAGTTGACCAAAAAATGAACATCATCACAACACATTATAATCAAGCTCTCTTCAGTTGAACAAAAGGAAAAAAATGTTTAAATGTGCACGTGGAAACAAAAATCAAGTGACATATAGAGGAATCCCAATCAAACTCACAGCTGACCTTTCAGAGGAAACACTATAGGCCAGAAGACAATGGAGTGACATTCCAGATTCTGAAAGAGAAAAATTTTCAGCCTAGAATAATTTACCCTGCAAAGCTCTCCTTTGTCTTTGAAAATGAAATAAAATTCTTCCACAATAAGAAAAATTTCAAGATTTTGTCTCATCTAAAGCTGCCCTACAAATGTGTTTCATGGGAAATCAAGGATGTTCCCATGAAAGAAAAAAGAAATAGCAACCACCAAAAACAAAGGCAAATGTGGAGAATATCTCACTAAAAGGCTAACAGAAGACTCAATCATAGAACAACACACCGTCAAAATGACAGGACCGAACTGCCCCTTATCCATAATAATGCTGAATGTAAAGGGCTTAAACTCATCAGTCAAACACCATAGATTAGAGGACTGGATCAAAAAGCAAAACCCAGCTATCTGCTGCTTACAGGAGACACATCTCACCAATAAAGATCATAGAAAATTGAAAGTGAAAGGATGGGAAAAGATATTCCAAGCAAATGGTAAGGAAAGACGAGCAGGTGTAGCCAATCTTGTTTCAGATGACATGGACTTTGATGTAAAGAGCATCAAAAGAGATAAAGAAGGATACCACATAATGACCAAAGGATGCCTTCAGCAAGAAGAGACCAGCATAATAAATGTTTACGCGCCAAACGCCAAAGCATCTAGCTATGTGAAACAAATATTAACAGGTTTAAAGGGACAAATAGACTCCAATACAATCATAGTGGGAGACTTTATTACCCCATTAACACAAATGGACAGATCAAAAATGCAGAGCCTGGTCTCCCAAGGGTTAACTCCACAGTTTAGCTTGTTTCTCAAGGGGTAACAGGATGCGCAATCTTGGCCTGATACATTTAGCCCCTGATTTGACCGCAAGTTCCTGCTTCCCTGTTTCCAATTTATCAAGATGCCCCCAGGAGATCTTAGGAGTTGCTTGAGCATTGGAAAAATACTGGGAGGAACTAAGCAGAGTATAAAAATGCAGGTGGAAGTTCAAATAAATGGCATTCTCTTTACAAGAATGACACACTGTGTGTTGTCTTCTTTGTAACCCTAATCCTTCTGCTCAGCTTGGAGTACACAGTGATGTGGGCGTTGCCAACACAAAAAACCGGAAACAGCAAAGAAACAACAGAACTCACCCAAACTCTAGAGCAAATGGACTTAGTTGACATCTATCAAAACCTTTCATCCTTCAGACAGAGAATACACTTTTTTTTCATCAGTACATGGAACTTTCTCCAAAACCACTCATGTTATAGGTCAGAAAACAAGCCTCAGCAAATTTTAAAAAGTTGAAATCATACCATGCATCTTCTCAGACCATCAAGGAGTGAAGCTAGAGACCAAGAAATCGAAACACCAAGGAAAACTTGCAAACACATGGAGACTGAATAATATGTTACTAAATGAGCAATGGGTTAGAGAGGAAATCAAAGGGAAAATTTAAAAATTGCTTGAAACAGATGAAGGCATCAACACAACTTATCAAAACTTATAGGACACAATCAAGGCGGTGGTAAGAGGAAAGTTCATTTCAATTAGTGCTTATGTCAAGAAACTAGAAAAGCACCAAGTAAATTAGCTAACCTTACAACTGAAAGAACTAGAAACACAACAAAGGAATCCCAAGATTAGTAGGAAAAAAGAAATCATCAAAATAAGGGAGGAAATAAACCAAAAAGAGACCAAGAGAACTATATACAAGATCAATCAATCAAAGAGCTGGTTCTTTGAGAAAATCAACAAAATAGACTCCCCACTAGCTCGACTAATCAAAAAAAGGAGAGAGAAAATACACATCAATAGTATCAGAGACGAGAAAGGAGATATAACAACAGATACCTCAGAAATACAAAGAATCATCAGGAACTATTACAAGAAACTATATGTGAACAAATTAGAAGACCTAGAAGAGATGGATAGATTTTTGGACACATACAATCCACCACAATTGAATCCAGAAGCAATTTAACAATCTAAACAGCCCAATAACATGCACTGAGATTGAGTCAATAATTAAAGCCCTCCCAACCAAGAAAAGTCCCGGACCAGATGGCTTCACAGCTGAATTCTACCAAACGTTTCAAGAGGAATTTATCCCTATCTTACACAAGCTTTTTCAACCAATAGAAAAAGAGGCAATCCTTCCAAACTCTTTCTATGAAGCTAACATCACTTTAATACCAAAGCCAGATAGAGAAACAACAGAAAAAGAGAACTACAGACCGATATCCTTGATGAACATAGATGCAAAGATCCTCAATAAAATTCTAGCAAATAGGATCCAACAACACATCAGGCAGATCAATCACCCGGACCAGGTAGGAATCATCCCAGGCATGCAGGGATGGTTCAACATCCGCAAAACAATAAATGTGATACATCATATCAACAAATTGAAAAATAAAAACCATATGATCCGCTCAATAAATGCAGAGAAGGGATTTGATAAAATCCAACACCACTTCATGCTAAAAACCCTAAACGAGATAGGCATAGAAGGAACATTCTAAAATATAATCAAAGCAATTTATGAAAAACCCAATGCCAGCATCATACTAAATGGGGAAAGATTGGAAGCCTTCCCACTAAAATCTGGAACCAAAGAGGGATGTTCACTCTCACCGCTACTCTTCAATATAGTTTTGGAAGTCCTTGCCAGAGCTATTGGGCAAGAAAAAGCAACTAAAGGAATACAAATTGGAAATGAGGAATTGAAATTATCGCTATTTGCAGATGACATGATTCTCTACATAGGAGAACCCAAAGACTCAGTCAAGGGACTACCGGCACTCATAAGAGACTTTGGCAGAGTAGCAGGATACAAAATTAATGAACACAAATCAATGGCACTAGTGTAACAAATAATTCCAAGGCTGAGAAAGAAATTGTATGTACAGTCTCCATAAAAATAGAGGAGAGGAAACTTAAATACCTAGGAATTAAGCTAACTAAATATGTGAAAGACTTCTATGATAAAAACTATAAATCATTTTAAAAGGAAACAGAAGAAGACCTTCAAAAATGGAGAACCTTACCATGTTCCTGGATTAGCAGGATCAACATTGTCAAAATGACCATATTACCAAAACAATATACAGATTCAATGCAATCCCAATCAAAATCCCAACAACATTCTTCTCAGAAAAGATGATACAAAAGTTCATCTGGAATGACGAAAGACCACAAAAAGCTAAAGTATCCTGAAAAATAGAAATCAAACTGGAGGAATCACAATTCCAGACCTCAAGACATACTACAGAGCAGTGGTTATCAAAACAGTCTGGTACTGGTACACACAGAGGATCAGTGGAATGGAACAGAAACACCAGAAGGGAGCCCACACACGTATAGTCAACTAATTTTTGACAAAACTGAAAGCAACCCAGGCAAAAATCCTGGTCTATTCAACAAATGCTGTGGGAACAACTGGATAGCAGCATGCAAAACTAAGAAGCAAGATCCACACATATCACATTGTATGAAACTTAGCTCTAAATGGATCAAGGACCTAAATCTACACCGAGAAACCACCAAACCATTGAAGGAAAACATAGGGAGCACTGTCCCAGAAATGGGAATGGAGAAAGACTTAGAAAAGACGCCAAAAGCAAAGGCAGTCCAAGCCAAAATGAACAAATGGGACTACATCAAACTAAAAGCTGCACAGCAAAGGAAACAAAGTGAAGCAGCAACCAACAGAATGGGAGAAAATTTCACACTACACAAGTGATAGGGGACTAACATCCAGAATCTACAAAGAGCTTCAGAAACCCAGCGACAGCCAAAAAAAGAAAAACAAACAAACAAACAAAAAAGAAAAACAAAAACAAAAACCCTGTAACAAAACGTGCAAAAGAAATGAAAAGACATTTCTCAGAAGAACAGATTCAAATGGCTAACAGACATATGAAAAGGTGCTCAGGCTCGCTAGCCATAAGAGAGATACAAATGAAAACCACATTGAGGTACCACCTAACTCCAGTGCGACTGGCCTACATTCAGAACTCCAATAATACCTGCTGGCGTGGATGTGGGGAGAAAGGCACCCTCCTTCACTGCTGGTGGGAGTGTAGGCCAGTACAACCACTGTGAAAATGGAGAGTTCTTGGAAAATTGCAAATAAACCTGCCATATGACCCAGCTATTCCGCTCCTAGGAATATACCCAAAGGGGGTGAAATCTGCATGTGAGAAGGGAATCTGTAACCCTATATTTACAGCAGCACAATCTACAATAGCAAAGACATGGAAACAAACCAGATGTGTGTCCAAGGAAGAGCGGCTAAAGAAACTGTGGTACATCTACTCTATGGAATATTATTCAGCTATTAAGAAGAATGAAATTATTCTATTTATAACCAGGTGGTCCCAACTAGAAACCATTATGCTCAGTGAAATGAGTCAATCATAAAAGAACAAATCCCATATCTTCTCTCTTGTATAAGGAAGCCAACATGGAAAGTGTAACTCCAATAGTTAATCCATATTGTTTTTTGATTGTTTGCTTGCTTTTTTGGCTGTATCCCATGTGTTTTGATGTTTTTATTTCAGTTTGGTTCCTTCTAAATAATCGCTTTAGTCAAATTCATCATGTGCTCATGAATTATATGATGGCATCATTCTTCCCAAGAGACTTCTGTGTTTCCTTTTTGTCACTCACGTCTTGGTTACTCAGTGGTGCATTATTTTTTCAATGTGCTATAATTTATTGTTGATGTTGTTGATGAAGTGGCTGTTCTAACTTATACCGGTTGTTGACCTTGTTTCATGGTTTTTCACTTATGGTAATGTATAGTGATGGAGTACTGGGGTTTATCATATATAGACGTTGGGGTACAATAGAACATGCATCCCTGCATCCAGACAAAAGATGGATTCCCAATGAAACTGTTGGATGTGTATGGACAATGGGATGCTGGACTGTCTGACATTGTCTGTACCAACAATGTCGGGTACGCTTAAATAAGAGACTGATAGAATTATGATTCCTTATGAAGGACTACACCATTGTAATAAAATGGGAAAAATCTGATGGGGCTGGGAGTTTGGGGAGGAATCCAGCCTATACAAAAATGTACCACATAATTCAAAATTCAAAATAAAAAATATCAAAAAATGATTTTTTTTTTCATTTTTTTGAAAAGCAGAGAGAGAAGAGAGAATCTTTCACCTACCAGTTCAATCCCCCAAGTAGCTATAGTAGCCAGGGCTAGGCCAGAGTGAAGCCAGGAGCTAGGAACCCCATCCAAGCTCTTGGGTCATTGCCTGCACCTTCTCAGGCATGTGAGCAGAAAGCTGACTCAGATGTATCATAGGTGGGATTTGTATCATAGGTCCTTCAATATCGGATGCTTGCACTGCAAGTGGACTGAACGTGCTGCACTACTATTTCTCCCTAGATGTCATACATTTGGCCAAATCATTCTTCCAAGTAGTTTTACAATTTATTCTCCCACAGTGATATCCAAGGATCTGGAGTTATTGTTATCTTGTTGGTCCTTATTATTATAATCCATATTCATTCTTTTATTCTTTTTTGACAGCTAGGCTTAGAACATAATCAATTTTATTAATATTTTAAAAGAATGAGATTTTGATTTGATGATTTTCTGTTTTATATTTTTCTACTTTATCTTGACTCATTATTTACTCTTTTCTGCTTCCTTTATTATTATTATTATTTAAAAATCTTATAAACAATACAAAATTTACTGGGGCTGAGGGGGTCCAACATCCAGTTGAGAGACTGTTTCCAATTTTCAAGCTGACTTGTCTTTGTACCCTCACTTGGTAGAAAGAGATGTAGCAATTCTCGGGGGCCTCTTCCATAAGGATATCAATCCCATTCATGATGGCTCTAACCAGTTGGCTTTAACATCACCGCACTGGGGTTTGAGATACAAGCATATGAAATCTGAGGACAAATCTGTCACTTTGGGATATTCAAGAGCATGGCTCTGGGTCTGGCAAGGTGCCCTGTCTGCATCACAACACAGCAAAGACATTGTGGTGCAAAGGCATGCAAGAGCAAGAGAAGGCCGAGACCAGAACTGACAAAAACCCTGCAAGAACTGCTTTCATCCTTCTGAGAACAACACCTTCAATGGCCTCGTCACTTCCCACGAGTGTGCGTCCTTTACACTGGGCATATCTTTTAATAGTGTCTTGAGAAAAATGAGACCAGTAACATTTTTTATCTTTTCTCCCTTTTAAGTACATGCATTTGAGGTTACATTTCTCCCTAGGTACTGCTTCAGTTTTAGTTCAAAAGAGTTCTATTCTTGTAGTCTTTTCTTTGGTCCATGGTTATTTAAAATTATGTGTGTGTGTGTGTGTATATATATATATATATATATTTCCAATAACGTTCTTCACAGAACTAAAAAAGCAATCCTAAAATTGATACGGAAACACAAAAGGCTTTAAATAGCTGAATCAATTCAAAACAATAAAAATAAGGTTGGAGGCATTACAAAACCAGATTTCAAGGCACATCACCGATATATTCTAACCAAACAGCATGATCCTGGCATAAAAATAGCCATGTATACCAATGGAAGAGAATAGAAATGTGCAAAATAAATCCGTGCACTTACAACCAACCAGTCTTTCACAGACATGCTGAAAACATTTCCTACAGAAAGGACTGTCTCCTCAATAAATAGTGCAGGGAAAATTGTATGTTCACATGCAGAAGTTTGAAATGAGACCCCTACCTTACACCTTACACATGAATCAACTCAAAATGGATCAAGGATCTAGACTTAAGACCTTAAACTATCCAACTTCTAGAGCAAAACACAGGGGAAACACTGTGAGATGCTGGCCTAACAAAAGACTTTTGGGACCAGACTGTAAGCACAGACAATGAAAGCAAAATAAACAATGGGTTTGCATTAAGCCATGCTCACCCAATGAAATAATCAACAAAGTAAAGAGACAACTGAAAGGATGAGAGAAAACATTTGGAAACTGTGACTTTGGTGGATGAATATATAGAACGTATAAGGGACTCAAGAAGTTCAGCAACAAAACAAAGTCCAGTTAAGAAATGAGCAAAGGATATGAGTAGGGCATCGTCCACAGGAAGAAATGCAAATGGCCAGTAGACACATGAGGAGAAAAACCAATGAGGATCACCAGCCATCAGGAAATGACAATGAGGTGTCCTCATCCCAGCTGCAATGGCTATTATCCAAAAACAGAAAGTCTCAGATGCTAGTGAGAGAACAGGCTATGCTGAGACTCTGTCGTTGGGAATGCAAACTGGTAGATCCATGATGGAAAACATGATGGAAATTCTTCAGAAAACTAAAAATAATGCCTACCATAGGATCCAACTAGCCCATATCTGGGAATATATCCAAAGGAAGTAAAATCAACATATGGAAGAGATACCTGTTTATAACAATTCAATTCACAATGGCAAAGATATGGAATCAGCCTGGAGGTCTGTCAGCTGATAAGCAAAATGTGGTGAGTGTACATGATCGACTGTTACTCAGCCATAAAACAGAATGCAACCCTGACATCTACAACAAGATGGCTGGGAGAAAAGGTTGCTAGGCCATCTACTCAATATGCTTTTCCTTTCCTTGATCGTTGTTACAAATCCCACATTAATATGTTATTAACATGCTTTCAAGAAAAATGGTATAAATGTCTATTTTCTTCATGGTATCTATGAAGTAAATACGGTAAAACATTAAAAATTGCTAAATCTTAGAATTTGAAGAACTATGTGTGTATATTACCTTATGCATATGTGAGAGATTGCCTGGTAGAGAATACTGCTAGTGTGACAGTCCAGACAATAGAAAATGATGACAGCAAGGCTAAACTTCCTGAAACATTCTGGGACGTGTCCATAATCCCACCTCTGCCATACCACGGGTTTTGGAAAGTCCCAACAAAGTGACAATAAAAATGACAACAATAAGGCTAGATCTTCTGAAACATTTCTGGGACATGTCCATAACCTCAGGTTCTCAGAAAGTCTTGAAAGGATAGTCAAAGTACTTATTGCAGGATGAGGTCTCATTGCAGGATGAAATCTTGCTTTTTTTTTTTTTAAGCTCACATGATAAGCTGATTGCCCTAAACTGGTGTCTGAACATGGAGTTGGAAGGACCTCTTTGCCTGGTTCAGTTGTTTGCTACGAGGCCGGATGTGGCTCTTACTGATTGATAGTTTAAAAGTGCATGATTTTTTAAATGCTTGGGTGTCTGTGTTTCACGCTGCTATAGTTGATTGGACAGTTTGTATCGTGTATATATGTGAACTTGGTTGATTGGACTATCCATGTTTTTGATTGATTGGATGCTTATTGCTTTAAAACTCAATGCAACAGGTTGAAGCTGTTCCCCCCTTCTGCTTGCAGTGGTGTGGGACAGTCCATTGGTCAGCGCTGGCCAGTGAATAAAGACTCCTGAATTTCAAAGAATCTTCCTCCAACTTGTTTCTGGGATAGATTTCATCAACTCACAACCTGAGGTGTTAATGCATATACACTTTTGTTTCACTAGATCTTGTCAGATTGTTCTTCAAATCAGTAGTAACCACTTGAATTACCTCTACCATGTAATAAAAAAGTACATTTGCTTCATATTTTTGTCAATACAAGTTATTGTCAGACTTGAATGTCTGCAACATCTGCGTGTGAATGGCTTGTTAATGTGGTTTTAGCCTGGCCACAGTGTTCAGTAAGTGTGGCATAATTTTTCTTTGTTTTGTTCTGAATTTTGCTATTTCTATAGATTCTTCTCCGTGTTTGATCTTTCAGCTACTATGGGAAGTGCAATAAAGTTTTCAGTAGCATGAATTTATTCCTTCTTTTTGTTTTCTGCATGTCTTGAAGCTATTACAGATCCAGATTCACTCCTCTCTGATGGTTTTACCCTTATTGATTACGACAGTGTTTCTTTTCTTCAATCATACTTTTCCCTTCAAGTTTCCTCAGCCCATAGGAGTTTGGCTAACTCAATTTTCTTTTGCACGATTTCCACTGTCTTCACTCTGTGCATATCTGTGTCCTCATGTCACAGGCACAATTCCTGTAAGCAAATATTGCTGACTTTGCTTTTAGTTCTACTTTTTCTGATCCCAGGTTTTAGTTGAAACACATAATCCATTTATGATGGAAATAAGCAGTAGTATACTTGGAATTGTGCTAACCTCTTTTTGAGTCATTTAATATTTAATCCATCTGTTGTGTGCTCTTATTCTCTTTTTTAGGTTAAAAAATGAATTGATACTCCCCTAATCTGTCAAGTTGTTTGTTGTGAATCTGTTAGTGGTTTACCCAGTGATCAGAATATCAACGCTTGACCTGCTAATAGTCTAAAATGTCAGAAAGGCAAAAGAGTAACCATTGGAATTTGAATACCCCAAGGTCTTAATTGATGAGGGAAAAAGTCAAAGAAATAATTTGAATTAGATTGGGTAATGATTCAATCATGCATGGAGCAATTACTTAAATGATGAAAAGAAACTAACACCATCTTCCCCCTCTCCAAATCACATCCTGCAAAAGTAACTTCAAAAATAAAAGAAAATTGGGCCCGGTGCAGTGGCGCAAGTGGTTAAGCTCCTCGCCTTGCACGCCCAGGATCCCATATGGGCACCAGTTCTAATCCCAGCAGCCCCGCTTCCCATCCAGCTCCCTGCCTGTGGCCCGGGAAAGCAGTCGAGGACAGCCCAAAGCTTTGGGACCCTGCACCAGCGTGGGAGACCCGGAAGAGGCTCCTGGCTTCGGATCGGCATAGCATCGACCGTTGTAGTCACTTGGGGAATGAATCATCGGACAGAAGATCTTCCTC